TACTTATTCTCTGACCCATGAAGTCTCTTCTCCTAAACCCTGTACCCTGTGTAAGCAAGACTCTTGAAGTTAATATGTGTTCCTAGAGGGGAGGCCATGGCAGGTAGTGTAAACCTGACCACTGTTGACTTGACTCACGTGGTTGAGTTTGCTCCTTGCTCATACAAAGCCATAAAGATATACTTTTTTGTACTCTGGAGAGTAGGATTTCTGGTGGCTTCTAGAAGGTAGGAGGCTAAATTCCTTGTCTCTTTATGAAGGAAGAAGACCATGAGCAGTAGATAAAAATAAGGTCCCTGAGTAGGTTGGGACAGAGAATATCAATGAGAGGAAGCTCTGGGTGTTTATCTTCTCTCTTGGTTCCCAACTACATACGTTGCACATAAGGGCCATGATCTGGCCAAGCTGAGTATCTGTTGGCCTTGAGAGGGCCTGGCAGGAGCTCCAGAGTTCATAGCTCACTTCCTTGCTGTTCAAGATACTATATGTAATAAGCATGTTGAAAATTCCACCTATTATTTATTGTTATTCCATTTAATCATAAATAATTTTGCAATTCCTTTGTGTTGTTTTAAGAAAGTAGGGAATCCCCAACTTGCTGAAAGCCTACATATTTCCTTTCTCAAAATGTTATTTTAAGAAAATATGAGTCTAGTGCAATGACTACATGTCTCTTGAATCATAGACAAGCAGGTGTGGTCCACATAGAAGTGTCCTAGATGTCTGACTTAAGGGAGTTTCAGACACTAGATTTGCATGGGGAAGGAAATGTAGTGCTATGGCAGTAATTCTAGTAAAATTCCAGCTGTCTGGGTTTTAGTAGGTTGGCCTGTCTGTTTTTAGTATGGGAGTTTCCTCCAGTGGCAGGGCCAGAGGCCAGGTAATACTCTGGTAATCTTTCCTGAGATGTCTTTGGTGACATCCTAAAATAACACTTTGGATGTGTAAACATCACTTTTGTGACCCCTTTATCTCTTGATTGTTATTTTTCCACCAGTCTTGTAACAAAAACAATGGAAGTAAGCAATCACAGAATAATTTGTATGAACTATGGAGTCTTGTGGTTTTTCATTCACGCCCTTTAATCCCATTTTTCAGAGTGATAAGGATGGACTGAGATGGACACAAGACATGCAAATAAAGCATTCCTACTATTGCTATAGATACTTAAAGCCTTTCTTGATATGCCTGGGAAGATGCCTGACATCCAGGAAATGAATAGTTACTTGCTAAAGTGCAGGAAACTGCCATTTCAATGATCTCACATTGAAAAGAGATTGATTGGCTAATATCAAAACAAAATATTTATTGAGTACCATCAGTAACATAGGAGCTCTGGTAGCATAGTGCCTAAGGCACTTGACTGCTAACCAGAAGGCTAGCGGTTCAAACCCACCAGCCACTCCTCAGAAGGAAGGTTGGGCAGTCCTACTTCTGTAATGATGTTGTTGTTGTTAAGTGCCGTCGAGTTGTTTCCGACT